TTATTTCAAATTCTGTCTATGAAGTTAAAGGTTTTGCTTTTCTCAGTAGCCTCAAGGCAATCTGTCTTAGCTTGCTGTTTCCCAAAATTATAATAAAACAGTGGTCTGAAGGAAAGGCAGCTGTAATCATAATGAAAAGCAACATGCCCTGATATGTCTGTTCCTTAGTAAAGATCCAACTTGCTGTTAGAATAGTAACAGTGTAAGTGATGAAGAGGAAGAGGAAGATGGTCACCATTTTCATGGCCCTTCTAAGGGCCTCTGTGCTGGAGTCCCTGGAGCCTGTCAGGCTGAGCTGCAAATTCTTGGTGTGTCTCACCAAGGACAGAAATAAAAGGAGCAAAGAGATCAGAGACAGGAAAAAGGGGATCACATAGGGCAAAGTAAGGAGAAGACTTTTAAGATAGAAAACTGTATTTATATCCAACGGCAAAGTCATATTTCTTTTAACAGAGGTATTCATCCAAAGTCACTAAGAGTGTCCTGCATTAAAAGGTTAACAGGCAGTGAGAAGAAAGACCCCAGGAAAAGCACAAGAACCACTTTGTTGACTCTCCACTTCAGCCACATAAAAAAGGAGTGGGAGAAATTGGCTATCTTAAGGAAGTAGAAAATGCTCAGGCAGGTGGCAAACCAGGTAGTTGGGTGATTAGTTAATGCCCAAAGAATGGAAACCACTTCTGCTAGTTTACCAGTAGCATAGAGATGTGGATATAGCCCCTTTATAAATGCATCCAACAGTATTACCCACAGTTGAATGATTCTGGCCATAGCCAAGCTGGTGAGAATGAAGTCAGCTGAGGAAACCTTCCCAGTCTTGACCCATTCCATGCAGTTCACCAGTCCAATGAACCCATTTCCTAGCATTCCTAAGATGACTTCTCCTGTTGCCACTACCAGAAAGACCTTGATTCCAGTTGACATCTGCACCAGAACGTTTCTAATGTTGTGCTTCACGGAAAGCTTTAGAGTGAAACAGTTGCAGATGGACATCCACTTATGATGCTTTCTGTAAATATTTTCATCATAATTCCAGAAAGTACAACCAAAACTCTGCTTTGTGATATAGTTTCAGAGACTTTCACAGAAGAATCGTGCAATCTGTTTGTCTTGTAATCCAGTGTTAAATCGAACAGTTCTGTTAAGACATATAGCATTTCCTGAATACATACCATATTGCCCAGTCAGCTACTATATAATTTCCAGAATAAATGCAAATGTTGTCTACTTTTTTTCCCACCAGCTGCAAATTTCCATTTGTGCCTCTGGCTGAACTGGTGAAGTAGATGATGTAAGCATGCAGATATGAGAGAGATTATTTTCCATCAATTTGTATTTTTATCTCCCTGAACCATACATGTAACTGCAAATATTGTAAATTTTGCATAGTAATTGCTAGGAAAAAATCTTTATATGATTTAGTCATTATTTGTTACTTATCAGTAAGATCCTGCTACATATCAAGCATTTTAGTTGATGCAATTTAATTTACATTAAAAATTATTGTAAATATTTCTAGTTCAAACACGACACCCAAGTCCTAGAACAAATAACTAGAAATAATCACTAAGAAACATTATAGAAGCTAATTAGAAGTTACAAGCCAAGTATACTGGGAATATACACAAGGCAGCTACAAATGCTGTAATGCAGAATTGACTGCGGTTTTATGAAGACAGACAGGAATATGTAGTGGGAACTTTAATTATTTAGCACTTATGAAGAAATACAGAAACAAACTCAAGACTGATGTAAAGGCATGTCAGGTTATCAGTGACATGAACAAGCATGGCGTCCTCCTAAACAGAGGGACTCCTCTTCTATAATGTTACTGGCTTTTCAGTAGAAATGCTGCCAAGTGCCCTCCAACTTCCACGTCCTAAATGAAATGTTTTCATCTTCTTTCTGGGCTGTAGAATGACTATATTTTTCAGCCTCCCTTACAGATGGTGTGGCAATGTGACTGAATCAGATCAATGTTTCCTGAGTGAAAATTACGTGCACCGTTTACAGACACGTCCCCAAAATATCTCCCACACATGCTCCTCCACCCGGCTTCTCCTCTCTGCTGTCTGGAATGGCGATGATTCCAAGCAATCTTGGAAGCCACATGTTAAGATGGCAGACTGCTGGTCAGCCTGGTTCCCTGGACAACTGCATAGAGAAGGCTCCCCAGACACACCAGCACTGATTAAAAAGCAACAGGGAATTTAGGTTATGTTTGAGTTTTGGAGTTTCGTACTGAGCTTTACATTTGGGAGCCTGTGTGTGACGGCTGTTGGGTTTCCCACTCTAAGGCAGTAACTGGAACCGAGCGTGTGCAGATTTGTGACAGGCATTTGAATGGCAAAAAAGCAGAACCAGGAAACCTATGCCACCTGCAGATTTTGTGATGCGTTTGTTTTCATTGGTTTTCCAGACCTAATGTAGTCTATGCATCCATTTATTTAGTCTTTAGAATATCATTTTGACCCACTATGCCATGGGGTGTCCTGAGGAGTCAGCAGGAAAGAGGGTAAACATCATCCCGCATTATAATGCTTACATTCTACTCGGACATCCAGAGGATTAAAAACAAATGGCCCAGTCGGTGTTGCTCAGTGGTTGAGCTTCGATCCATGAACCAAAAAGTTATGGTTCGATTCTCCGTCTGGGAAAAGACCTGGGTTTCGGTCTCCATCCCCAGTAAGGGGCGTGCAGGAGGCAGCTGTAGGATGATTCTCGCTCATCATTGATGTTTCTTCCTCTCTCTCATTCTTTTATCCTCTCTCGGCAATCAATAAAAAATTTGAAAATAAATAAATAAATAATGAAAACAAATTTATATATCAGATGTGAAAAAGGTTTATCTTACATATAGATAAGGTTAAAATTTCATAATGCTAAGATTTAATTTAGACATGTAAATTAAGTTTTTGAACAAGGTTATATATTTGTTTCTTACAAAAAAACTTGCTACCAAATTTATTTCAACACACTTTCTATGTCATCATTTCCACAAGTATATAATAGAAACAGGTCTTGAAGACATTTTTTATAATTAGTATATAGACATCACAGACACCAGTTTTCATGTCTGTAGAATGATCATTGACACAATTTTATACTACACTTATTTTTAATCTTTTTCTCTAAGGTTAAAAGGAATTTTTAGGAAGCAAGTTGCAGAAGATGATTGGCAATTAGAGGTCCAAACATGGTGTAAGTGTCAACTAAATAAATTGATATCAGTTTCCAAATTAGGAAACGTCTTCTTCAAAAACTCTAAGAAATGACTTTCCAAACTGCATAAGGAACCATAGCAGCATTAAAAACACTATGACCATTTTTCTTTCTTCTTTATCCCTATTGTAAAACTTGATTTTTTCCTAAGATTTCACTTAATTGTATTAAATCTAAAAAATCTTTAGTACTGCTTATTGTACATGTATTTAAAATATATTCTAAATATGTTTGACACTCTAATTTCATTACATGCATCTTTTCCTAACAGCAATTCCGATGGCTACCTGTTAACCATGAAGTAAGAATTCACATTGAAATAATGTCTATCCCAAACATCCATCCTCAGTGTGTGACTTAGAATTCAATATCTTTACCATCCAAAAGATTGGAGGAGCAAACAAAAAATCTAAACACACTGTGGTACATAATGTGGTATTAATTACAAGGGAAGATAGCAATGATTTCCTGAGATGAGTTGTCAGTCCTTAAGAATGTATACATGTAGATCATAAATTTTAACATCCAAGATGAAAACATAGAACACTTATGTGAGAAACTCATCATGTCATAATCCTAAGGAATTCCTTACAATATTTTGTAAAATTAGGTTGCTTGCCTGAAAAAAATATGTTAATCTTATCATCTCTTTTGAATTTTTCACAAACATGCACACATATATATTTTTGTGATAAGCTTAGGTAAAAGTTTTTTTAGGTATACCTTACACAATTCTATACACATTAAGAAATGCAGTAAGAAGTACAAAACCTCACAGACTCTATCAGTTTGTTTTCTGCCGGAAGACACATGGTCCCCACTTNCAATTCTATACACATTAAGAAATGCAGTAAGAAGTACAAAACCTCACAGACTCTATCAGTTTGTTTTCTGCAGGAAGACACATGGTCCCCACTTATTTCCTTTCTTTCAGCCGGCACCTCAGCTGCCACAGAAATGACAGAAAGGCCTGTCTCAGCTTCTTGTTCCCCCAAATCAGGATAAACGAGTGGCCTGAAGGATACAGAATTGCAAAAACCTGGCAAAGCATAAAAACTGCATTGTTCTGCAGAATATTAGTATTCCAAATTGAGATGAGTTGAGACGGGAAGTAAATGACAAGTATCAAGAGAAAGGAGATCACAGTTTGCATGGCTCTTATGTGGACCTTAGTGCTGGGATCTTGAGAGCCTTCGTTCCTGAACTGCATCTTCTTGAGATGTTTCCACATGGAAAAGATTAACATCAGAACAGCTATCAGGGATGTAGCGAAGGATATGAAGTGTACAAGCGTGAATACAATTATATTTGAAAGGCGCACAATGTCCCTCACGTTGGCCTTCCAAGTGATGTTTCCTTCATATTCATTCATCTGCATTTTTTCATCGATGTTTATCACTGCAAGGTGACAAAGCAAGAAGACCAAAGTCCCCCACACNCCCCATAGTATCATGATAACCACTCTCTTAGCTTTCCATTTCAGGTGAAGAAATAAAAGGCTGGAGAAATTGGCTATCTTAAGCAAATAAAGTATGCTGATGCTAGTAGCAAGCCAGAGGCTAAAATGGTTGCTTACTACCCAGACATTATAAACAATAGTTCTTACTTCTGAACTATAGAAAGCTGTATTAAACACAGATGCATACCAATTGAATGCTATTGCCCAGAGCAAACCAATTCTGGAGACAGCCAAAGCAATGAGAATTCGATCAGCACAGGAGATCTTTTGTTTCTTGACCCAGTCAGTGCAGCTCACCAGTGCTATGAAGCCATTGGCAAAATTTCCTAGAACAAATTCTGCCACTATGAGGATGGAAAAAATACTCCTTGATGAACTTATCATGTCTAGAAAAAAAAGACCAAATCCAATATCACTTGGTCTTGATTTCTTTAATATTCTGACCTTAACTTCTATTTGGAACTCATCTTGAATGTGCATAGAATCCTTGTTTCTTTTAAATTCTATGACCAATGCCAAGCAAGAAAGTACCAGGGTATGCTAATGGAAGAGCGCAGTGTTTTCTTTATGGAAAACATTGCTGTTTCCTAAAAAGCTCAAATTAACTCTTATTCAAATACTTAACGTCCTTGCTGTAGGCTGGAATATTTCATAACTGATGTTGTTGCAAAAGATGAATTCTCATTTGCCAGCATGCAAATACAGACATATTCTCTTTCATTGATTTGCAATTTTCTTTGTTTAACCTCTCCATAATTTGTGCTCATCTCCATAATTTGTCATCAGTAAAATTTAAAAACACAATACGTTGAATACACAGTGAAAGCAAAATTGTTCAATGAAGTTAGGCTATAGAAAGGATCATCATCATTATGGATGTATTAAATTTTTATTGAATGTGTTGGGGTGATTTTATTGGTTAATAAAGTTGTATAGGTTTCAAGTGTACAATTCTATGACCCCTATCTGTATATTGTATTATTTTTGCAGCCCAAAGTCAAGTCTCCTTCCATCACCATTTATTTCCCCCTTTTGGATTTTTTGTTTTAAATATAGGATTTATGTAGAAAGAATCCAATCTTTGTCTATTAAACATAAAGCTTATTGCTGATGACTAACATTTAAGTATACTTTTTTGTTTATAAACTCATAACCATACAAGCACATATACATACACCTCATGAAGGAATAAATTATTGTCTCATAGTTTTTAAAATGGAAAAATGAGTCTCAGTGAGGTCATCTAGGTTTAAATCTATCTTTTATTTCATTCAGGCTTTTCAGCTCATTATTAATAGACATCAAGCATTTCTCATGTTAAGACTTTGATGAAGATTCTCTTTTGTGTCTAAGCAATATTTAAATATTAATTATTTAATTAAAATATTCAGAAATGTCCTAAATATACCTTGGAAACTTCATAAGAACATATGGTTTCTGCCGGAGCCCGCAGGCAGAGTAGAACGGTCCCGAGAGTAGGGGTGAGAGTAGGGGTGAGGACGGAGAAAAGACAGACATAGAAAAGATGGGATCGGGAGGACTACAGCTCCTGACGGCTGCAGCCCCGAGTTTATTTTCCAAGCTCAATTTATACCAGCGCTGTTGTTTTTGCTGAATAACACCCTGCCCCGCATTCCTTCCCCTTGCCCGATACAAAGTAGTTCTCTCCAGGCTGCACAAACACCTTCAGCGTAAACATCCTGCCTCCTGCAGGAGCTCAGACCTTGGTAACTATTTTTGTCTCGGCTTCCAATGGGAACTTTTTGGGAAGGATTGAGTCCTTGGCTTGGTATGTGGCTTGACTGTCCCTTAACCCTTCAGGCCGGAGCCAGCTCCTAATAAGCCTTTCTAGAATTTATGGCTGCAAGCTAAATTAGTATCGCTGTGGTGCCTCAAGGTCTGGGTCAGGGAGCAGGAGAGCACTTCTGCAGCTCACCCAGGCAGCTCCTCTGTGCCTGGGGCCACAGCAGCTCACCCACATCTCCCTGGGAGCAAGGGAGCACATCCACAGCTCACCGAGGCAGCTCCTCGTGCCTGAGGCCACAACGGCTCCCCACAGGTTTCCATTGGAGAGTTTAGACTACTCTGTATATGAAAATTCAATTTTACTTTCTCTGTTTAATTGATTTCTGACTACTTAATATTTTAAGATTAATAAATGTTAAAATCAGCCTCTAACCTTGGATTTTATTGTTTCAGTTTTTATATTATAATCGTTTTTACAGGACGATCTTAGAGCTGGACTGCCATAAGGAAAACCCAGATTATCTGCTTTGTATGTCTCTCTGATCTTGGACTCTTTTTTAAAACTACTGTCTTCCTCAGTATAATTATCAGTAAAAATCAGATAAAATTATAAGCTTTGTGGATGGTCTTTGTCAGGAGTAAGTATACCATTTGTGTAGAGTGCTTTCAATTGTGCCTGCCTGGTACAAACACGTGGAACCAAGGATTGTTATTCATTTGATTATTCAGTGTTAACCCTGCTTATGAGTACAATGCAGCAGTGGAAAAAAGGCAAGATTTCCTCCTACAACAACCAAGAAAAGGGGAGTGAATTGTCAAAATTATATTTTAAATGCATCATAGAGTTTCATAAGGAAGGAGGACCAGTGAACTAAAATCCAGGTAAGAGGGGAGACTTAATTTTTTAAAAAATATATCTTTATTGATTTCAGAGACAGGAAAGGAGAAGGAGAGACAGAGATAGAAACATCAATGATGAGAGTCACTGATCGGCTAGCCCGCAACCCAGGCATGTGCCCTGACCCGGAATCGAACCTCAATCGCCAGGATCCTAGGTCGATGCTCAACCACTGAGCCAAGCCCGGCCAGGCAAGAGGGGAGACTTTAGATGAAGAGATAATCTGCATGGTCAATGAAATTACTATCACATCCCAGAAGGTTCTTTTGCAGAAAGTGAAAACTATTCCTAAAATGTTTATGGACATGCAAAACACTCATGATCACCAAAAGATTGTAAATAAATAAATATAAAATATAAAATTTGCCCCATCCCACCAAAAAAATTAGCCAAAAGAATTTTTTTAAAAGAGCCAATTTGGGGGATCACAGTTTCTAATTTCAAAGCTTGCTAAAAAGCTGTATGAATCAAGATAGTGCACTACTTGAATGATAATAGACACATATACACATGAATCACAATTGAATTTCAGCTGTTAACAATCACCTTCATAATCAGATAACTTTTCTAAATCATTTTTTTATTTTTCAATTATAGTTGACATACATTGTTATATTATTTCATATGTACACCCCAGTGTTTAGACATTACATAACTTTCTAGTGATCATTCCAATCTCGCACCCATCTGACACCATCATAGTTATGAGAATATTATTGACTATATTCTCTATGTTGTGTTTTATATCTTGATGACTATTCTAAAACAACCAATTTCTAAATAATCCCTTCATTTTTTTCACCCATTACCCCAACCCCCTTTTCTCTGGCAAGCATCAAAATGTTGTCTGTATCTATGAGTCTGTTTCTCTTCCTCTTGTTGTTTATTTATTTTTAAGTTTCAATTATTGATTAATATGTCTTTATTTCCATTTTATTGTTCATATTTTTTGTCTTTATTATTATTGTTCTTAAAGAAGACCCTTTAACATTTCATGTAACACTGGTTTTGTGGTGAGGAACTCCTTTAGTTTTTTCTTGTCTGGGAAGCCCTTTATCTGTCTCCATTCTAAATGATAGCTTTGTTGGGTAGAGTATTCTTGGTTGCAGGTCTTTACTTTTCATCACTTTGTATATTTCTTGCCAATTCCTTCTAGCCTGAAACTTTTCTGGTGAGAAATCAGCTGACAATCTTATGACAGCTCCCTTGTAGATAACTAACTGCTTTCCTCTTACTGCTTGTAAGATTTTCTCTTTGTATTAACCTTTTGCCTTTTAATTATAATGTATCTTGTTTGAGGCTCTCTGTGGTTCTTGAATTTGTATGTCTATTTCCTTCACCAGGTTAGGGAAATTTTCTGTCATTACTTTTCAATAGGTTTTCAATTTCTTGCTTTCTCTTTTCTCCTTCTGACACCCCATGATGCTTGAAGTTGGTATTCTTGAAGTTGTCCCAGAGGCTTCTTACAATATCCTCACTTTTTAAAATTCTATTTCTTTGTGCTTTTTTGATTGGATGTTATTTGCTTCCTTATATTCCAAATCCCGGATTTGATTTTCATCTTCATCTACTTTACTATGTATTCTCTATAATTTATTCTTTATTTCAGTTAATGTATTCATTTCTGACTGGTTCTTTTTATGTTTTTTATTTCCATTTTTATATTTTCTATCTCGTTTTTGAAGTTCCTACTAAGTTCATCTACTCTTCCCCTAAGTTCATTGGGCATCCTTATAACCAGTGCATTGATCTCTGCATCTGGGAGACCGAGTATCTCCATTTTATTTAGTTCTTTTTCTGGGGTTTTGTTCTGTTCTTTCATTTGGGACACGTTTCTTTGTCTCCTCATATTGGCTGCCTCCCTGTGTTTGCTTCTATGCATTAAGTATAGCTGTTATGTTTCCCAGGCTTGGTAGACTGGCCTTCTACAGTAGGCATCCTGTCTGGTCCAGTGGCACAGCCTCCTTATTACCAAACCTGGGCTCTCCAGGGTATCCCCAGTGTGAGTTGTGTACACCCTCTTATTGCAATTGAGCCTTGATTGCTGTTCACATGTCAATGAGAGAAATTTACCTCCAGGCCAATCAGTTGCAATGATGACTGTGACCCCTGACCACTGTTAAGGGTCAGTGGTGCAGGGGCCCACCCCACAGAGCAGGACATAGTTTAGTGAGGCTCTGGTGACTGCTGAGTCTGCTCCTTGAGTGTGTTACTTGTAGAGGTGGTTGAGTGGTGGTGTTTCAATGTTGACTGAACCTGCCTGAGCACCATTAGATGTTCTGGATCTGGGAAATCTGGGAAGGTGCAGGACAAGGTCAGCCACTGCCTGTGTAGTTCCCAGGGCTACCTGACATGAGTCACGATGTACTCTGTAGATGACTTACTTGTGCAACTTGGAGGTGCCCTGGCAGGGTCAAGCTGTGACCTAAGTTCAGCTGCTATTGCCAAGCCTGGGGCCATTTAACAAGAGGTAGGGACACTATGAGGCTACATGTTGCTTGTTTGAGAAATTTTATGAAAATCTGAAACTATAGCCAAGACAGGTCATTTGTATAGAAAAGCCACTGGAAATAGCTCGGGTCAATCCAATAGTTGGTTGAGGTGTGGCTTCAGGGAATCACCAAGGCAGAGCAAATAATGTGAGCCAGATTGATGGAATCTCAGGTCTGGTGGCTGTCTATAGCTTCTCTGGAGGGGGTGCTCGTCAAAGAAATAGTAGCCTCTGTAAGCACTTCTGTCT